TACTGTAGAAGTTATTGGCCACTGAACTGTAACAATTCTTTGACATTAAATTGGCTAATTATAACTTCTTCCTTTACACTTAAGCCTTAAATAATGAACCGTACTCGATTGTGAAAGCTGTATGTGTGTCTAAACGGACTGATGCCCCCTAGATTTACATACATAATTATCATACATATTTCTAAATCGGCACTTGGATATTTAGATATTGCTTCTACAGCTTTTGTTTGTTGACTACTAACAGCAAACTTAATTTTCCTGGGGAAAGGGACACTTAGGTAAAGATTACCTGTTAAAAATGAAATTTATATTATATATTTGTGCTTGAATAGTTTTTATTTAGACTCAATCCATTCATACTTGGTTGTTAAAATTCTTGTGTTGTCTTATAACTGTTGATTGTGGAAGAAAACACTAATTTCATGGTCAATGTTACGGGTACCAGACTTATAAAGTAAGACTTTTACATATTAATCATGCCTCCTTCTTTATTGACTGTTGTCTTTAATTTTTAAGGTAGCTAGACACGGAGGGAGTTTATTTTTCAAAAATTTCAAAAATATTATATCTATTTCTGTGCAATGTAAACATTTAGGTGTTAAGTAATAAGAGCCTTTCGGTCAACACGTACATTTTCACGTTTTTTTAAAAACATTAACCTAAGGGCAGTTAATATAATTTGAAAATCATATTTTTTGTGAGAAACTTATCTTGATTGAGCGAAAATCGTTGCGATGCTTTTCAATTTTGAGACAAATTTCTCACATTCAGATGTATTGTTCTATAAGACCTGAGTGAGCAAAAGGTCTGACATTTCTCAAAAATAGACCTTCATCAAAGGAAAATTTAATTTCGAGCAAAAACTTTATTGGAGTCTCTTTAGTGCATTGTTATCACGAATGATTGGTTAGGAAATATCACATGTCCGGCAATAACTAAGAAAGGGATGGTAAATTTTATTTTATTTTCGGAAGTCAATGGCAAGGTGAAACAAACCTACGGCCAGGTTGAGCACAACAAATAACAAGTGAAGTTACACTCAAGCGTAAAATGCCTTAGAATGAACGGAAAAGCTTTACACATGTATTTTTCATTACGCCAGACGTTTCTTGTAGAAACCGTTAGAAAAGAAAACCAGAAGTTGTGCCAGGAATTTCACAGCACGAGTCTTATCTATATAAAGACAGTGCTGACACGTTGTTATCGGTTTATCGTTATACCTTCTACATTTATTAAGTATATCCATATTAAACAATGAAAAGCAAAGCTCTTAATTTTAGCATCAACATTAAGACTTTCTTAAGGTTAAGCACTCAGCCGCCACCAGGATGAAAGGATTTCAGCGTCCCTCTAGAGATTTACCTTTACTCAGTGACTAATGTGCGCAGACGGTTGAAAAGTAAACCATTGGGAATTTATTTTTTTTTCCAATTTATTATTTACTAAAATGTAATGCAAATAACTTTATTTTGTTTCATTCTTTTCAATCGAAAAGCAATAAAGAACCCCCCCCCCCCCCCAAAAAAAAAAGAATACTTTGAAGCGCTTTGCGAGATGTCTTGAGATTTATAAGTATTGTGGCAAACAAAAGTCATTTTTACTGCTGAATTGCAGAAATAATAGTCACAGTAAATTGCTGTATAATAATTGTCAAAAATTTCAATGATTTAATTATGTTATACTTTTCATTTATCCTTATATTCACACGATTTATTTCCGTGTGAAGTAAAGAGATGTCACAAGTGTGCGTGTTTATTATTTTGGTTTGATCTGGTAATGGATCAAGTGCCTTTAAATGATTCTTAAGTAAACATAGAAACATATAAAAATGAGTTGCAACAAAGAATGAAATATAAAAAATGTAAAGCCAATATACATTTAAATATTTATGAGTGTATGTGTGTGTGTGTGCGGTTGTGTGTATGTATGCAAATATGTGTATATATTTAATATACTTGCTTTCTTTTCAGGACTTGTAATTCCACAGTAAAGCATGCGTTACATTCAAAATTATACAATAACTTATAAATGATTTCACCTCTATCAAAGGAAAGGAATACAAACATAGTTTTATAACCGACCTGCAATATCATCTTTCATGTACAATATCACCATTTGGAGACACAGGTATGTAAACATAATTTTATAAACGACCTTCAATATCATCTTTCAGGTATGATCTCATCATTTAGAGACGTAAACAACTCGTTATACGATATGGTTGTTTATCAACCTTGAAACTTGTTGACATGTTCCAATTTTCCGTGTGCGTTATCTATCATTTAATTTCCCGAATTCACAAAACGATGCTAAAAGAATAAATTGTAATTTCATTTTGGCAGGTTTTTGATGATTAACATGATGATGATGATAATTCTGATGAAATACAAATATGGTTTGAGTGATGATTAATATGATAATAATGATGATAATAGTGATAACTGAATAGTAGTTATACATCCTGTGATACCCTATTCTTGAATTTTCAAAATCTTGTCTTATCAGAGTTTTTCATTATCATCTACTTGCATAGCCAGCATATTTCGCTTTCTTATACTTGTATTAGCATCAACGTTTACCACCATAATGGTACATTGCCTTAATTTTGAATTATCACTATCTTACCAGCATCTTGCGTTACCTTTATCTTGAATTAACATCATCATGAAATTGTACCAACAGAAACTTGTGTTACCTTAATGTTGAATTATATCCAACTTGTTTTACCAGAATTGTGCGCTACCTCCATCTTGAATTATTATCATATTGGAATGCCATCATTTTGCAGTATATAATCTTAAATAATTTTAATCTTGTATTACAAGCATCTTTCGCTGCCTTATTGTTGCATTATAATCAACTTGTATTTTGATTTATTCACTACCTTTATTTTTGAAGTAACTTCTTTTGTTCAAACAGAATATTTCTGTAACTTAATATTGAACTATTGCACTCATGTATTTCCAGAATTTTTCGCTACTTTAATATTGATCTATCATCATATCGTATCAGCATAATCGTGCGTTACCTTAATTTTGAATTATCGCCATCTCTTTTACCAGCACCTTACACTTCCTTTATAAGAATTTTTATTGACTTGAATAACCCTTACTTTTAGTTTTAACCATTTGGCATTTTCTATTTGGGTGGTTGAAATATTCCTACTTGAATAATGTTGAATCACCCTTAGGATTTGTTGCCTGCTTTTTTACATTGTCCTTAGACGTCTTATCTGTGATATGCAGGCTTCATAACTTCTGATCCCATTTCAAAATTTAATTTTGTTAAGTACGGCTTTTTTCGTTCAGGGCACACGGACCATACGCCATGGAATGACACTACTGTGTCACATTGAAGGTTCCATGATAATCGTCGTATAAACACACCCGCGGATGTTTCTAAATTCAAAGTATCACCTTTTCATGTTTAAATGTTGCATTGGGCTTAAGCCTGTGCTAGAGGCGTGAACGGTAGTTTTCACTTGTTAGTACCGTCCATGAACAGGCTCAACCAAACCGAGCCTGCAACATCTTCAATTTGCCGTGTTGGACTTTCCTTTGGGATTCTTATTTTCTGTATTGTATTACCCCCATCTTGAGCCACCGTAATTTTGAATTATCATCAACTTGTTAAAATCATCATTTTGCGCTTCTTCATCTTGAATTATCAGCATCTTGTTTAACTAGCAGCTTGTGCTTATTTCATCATATTGCATTATTAACATCTTGCACTACTTGTCTCTTGATTTATCATCATATCGTATCACCAAAATCTTGCGCTACCTTAAATTTGAATAATCGCCATCATGTATTACAGGCGCATAACACTACCTTTATGTTGAATTATCACAGACTTGTATAACCAGCATATTGTGATACATTCATTTTGAATTATCGCCATTTTGTATTACCAGCATCTTACATTACATTCATCTTAATTTATCATCGGCACGTATTAACAACATCTTGCGCTATCTTAATCTTGAATTATCATCATCTTATACTACCATCATATTGTGCTACCTTTGACCTTCATTTTGATTTATCACCTTGTATCACCAGCATCTTACACTAACTTAACTTTGAATAATCATCGACATATATTACGAACATATATCGCTACCTTAATTTTGAAAATTCACCATCTTGTATTACCTGCATATTGTGCTACCTTCATTTTAAATCACAATCTTGTATTACAAGCATCATACGTTTCCTTCATTCTGAATTATCATCAACTTATTTTGCCATCATCTGCTCTTCTTTATATCTTTAATTATAATCATCTTGTATCACCAACATCTTGCGCTACCATAATATTGAATTATCACCAAGTTGTATGACATGAAATTTTCTCTTTTTTTAATTATCATCATCTTTTTAACCAACATCTTGCGCTTCATTCATTTAGAACAATGATGTCAAAGTCAACACCTACATAGATTATTAATGTGTTGTTATTTTCTGCTTGAATGCTCTAAAGTATGACACTTGATTTCACAAGGTGTCATAAACTGTTGTAGTGGGTTATATTCGTGTATGAAATAAGATGAGAAAAGCGGTTAATTGTTGCTTTCATTTTGCTTTATTTTATGAAGAATTTCTTTCTTATTTTACAGGTGAATTGATTACATCATATAATAATTAATATTGAAATTAGACATAAGATATTTTTTTTTTTCAGAAATAAATTTTTTTCCTCACATCATATTAGATATTAAAACATACTTTTAACATACAGTTCGCTGGAGTCTCTTTAGCTATTTATTAACAAACTAGATGGATTTAACAATCTTACTTGTACTTACATTCTTTTAATGTTTACACAAGCCAAACAGAAACATGATATTCGCCGTAAAATAACTAGTATTCTTTATTCATTCATAGGTAATATCTAAAAATAGACCAATTGATATTGTTTTGCCTTAGAGTATGAGTTGTTGAATTTTCATTGGCTATCAGTCAAGCGTCTTCTTTAACCAAACCGCAGAACCTATAAAGTTGAAACTTCAGATTTAAACTATTTAAATGCAAGTAATGCAAAGAAGCAATTTATTGCACTGCATTCTTTCCGCAATAATGTTATAGTTTTTCTTAATCAAATGTGCATCTGTGATTTCATTTAAACATTTGAAATGAAAACATTTTAAACATGAACATTGTGCACAAGTTGATACCATTTGATTCAAACATCGTGAATGGATTAAAGGATATATTTACCGTAAGTTGTAATATATTGTGATACGTTTTTCATTAATATTCCTGTATCTGTTTACTGATGTGGTATTTCTCTTTGTACTGTTTTGTCACCTTTTGTTAGCAGAAATTATCTTTTTCATTAATCGCTGTTTACAGATTTCTTGATTTATTGGGATCTCTTTGCAAACATTTCTCATTGGTTTCCCCGTCACTTTCGGTTTCGACTTTTGAGTAGAAGCACAATATCATGAAGTAAGCGTTTATATGAAAGAAAAGTTATGCCCATCGGTATGTTCTGTTGGATGCTTAGGTGGAGCAATGTATCAAATCATGCATGCGTCAAAACACTTTTTGTTCAAACCTAGCGATGAAATGTAATACTGTAAAAACTGTAAATATATTTTATTTGACATACGAATATAAAACAGGTGTACTAGTGGATTTGTTACCGAAACTTGGTACCCATGTAGTTATCAATCTAAACAAAGATGGTTCCTTTCTTTATGTATATGGAGAAGCATCTGTTTTAATGTACGCTTTTTAACCAGTATAAAGTAGCAGACGATATATAACAATAGGAAGCAGAACCAAACCTTTCAAAACAAGTACAGACAGCATAACGCGTATAAACAATTATGGTTTTTATCCTTTTTATTTTAAAAACAGGGGGGAGGGTCTTTACGGGTGCAAACTTGATACTATTAAATATGTAGTTATTGTATCAATAAATGAAAGAAAACGTAACAATAACCAGTATATAGGTTTGACGGTGTACGTTAAGGCGAATCTGTATTTGTATGGTTATAATTCAAATCCGTTATCTATTCAATGGATAAGAGGGGCTACTGTTTACAAAAGGGTATCATTTAAAGAAAGAAAAAACAGAACAAAGCAAAAACATCATTATAGGCCTGGTAGTTTAATGTAACTCGACCATACTTAAAGGTATGCAACATATTCTATAATTGACCATTTAGAACACATTTGGAACATATCTCAAAGAGCAATTTTTGAACGGTCTGCCAATTAAACCACATTTTTACAGCTTTGGCGCAACAATTGAAGAATGAATGTATCAGTGTCATACATGATAATTCAAAAGCTAGTATGTAGCATGTAGCGAAGATACCTGTTTGTCATACATGATCAAGGACCCGTAATCCCATAAGTCTTTATGAGTCATTTACGATAACTAACATGCAATTAAGTTTTCATAACCTTTTAATTGAACATGAATTTTTTAATAAAAATGTCTGATTCATAATTATTATTTGCTTCAATACAATAGCACAGTTATCATTTCCAAAATTTAAAGATAATGAAAAACTAGAGGCAATTATTCAATACATGGTTTTACAAGCACCATAAATTATTCTCGTTTTATTTAGTTATCGCCATTGTTTTCTTATTTAAGGACACGAACATTATTTACATTTGAATCATACACATTTTAACGGACACGAATGTGTCATTTCAGGTGTTCGATGACAATCATCGTATTAACACATCTTGAAAATTCCAAAATTTATATTTAAATGTTGAATTATACAGCCTGTACATAGTTGGCGTAATAGATAAGTTTGCACACAGCTTAGTAGCGTTTATGGACTGTATAAACAAATTGAGACTACATCATTTTGAATTTTGTTTCTTCCAAAATCGCCCCGTGCATTCAATTAAGGATGTCATACTTCCAATTCTTGATGATGGTTTCGTAGGATTTTCTTTTCTATAAATGGTTTGTAAAAACACTATATTATTATTCACGCTTTTTAAAAATGACCATTTTTATGTTTACTTTTATGTCATTGTTCTAAATGGTAACAATGACATTTCATATGGTAAATGTATAGCAAAATTAAAGTTTAGCTTGTTCATGAAATTTCACTTTATGATTATCATACTTTAAAAAGTAAGGGAACTAACTCATCAAATTTGAAATATAACAAACATGAGTAATCATCATATACTCTGCCTTTAAACATCACTAACGTACAACTGACGCATTTGTACCGAGTGAAAGTAACAAAATACGTATAAGGGCTGAAATACTTTTCCTGAACTAAATAATTACAACTGTGGACGTTACATGACACAATGGCATTGTCTTTGCTATTATGAGTTTTTGTTATTGTTGTTTGCTTTGTATTTGTCTGCACATCTTGATCTGGATACGTTCCCTGATATGTCAGGAGTTCTTATTTGTTTTTTATTTAATCATTCCTACAGTCAATATACTATAACTTTTTCTTTGCTTAACGTAGTTTTTAAGACACATTATTCCATCATAAATGTTAATTCTAAATGGTTTGTGATTTCGCTTAACATTAATTTTTATATAGTTTGTTGATAATTACAGTTTTTTGTGTCAGTTATATTCAGATAACTTGTCTAAATTGTCGAATAATGGACAAGTTTGTTATTTAAGTGAATTATATATCAATCTGCCACGACATAGTTGTACCTAGAAGTTTGTTTCGTCTTGTACTCTTACTCTTAAAGGCACATTATGCCAGAAGTCCATTGCTTTTAAATTCTCTGTGTTTAATTATGTTTAAATATCGAATTAAGAGGATGTTTAATGTTTTAACTGAAAAAAAGCAGCACTGAACATGCATGCTTGGATAATTAAGGTAGCAAAATGTAAACAAAGAAGTATTTTGACTTCCAAATGAAGTACTTATTCACTATAGTTATACCAATTGCCAACAGAACTGAAGATGCAAAGATAGAACATGTATATTGCAAATGAGTATGTTTTGAGGGAACTGTTGTAACAAGATACCAAAATAAAAAATGTTTTTGAAAGATAAAATGAAATGATAACATATCTGAGTAATAATTTGCTTTAAAAGCTGCACTATCACTCATAAGTATGCTATGTAAAATTTATACCTATATTTACATGACACGAATTTTCTGTATTGTTACATCGTATATACTTGCTATTATTGTTTGTTCAGCTTTTCAAAATTTGAAGGAATTTAAAGTATCATCTGTGTATCAACTTTCCGGCTAGGAGGATTACTCTATCATTCGGCGTGCCAGGCAGGGGTCACTCTTGCTAAAGATAATTGAATGTTTGAAAGATAGGATTGCTGCATTTCAAATGAATTGTCACACATTTACTCTTAAATCGGCTATATAAAAGTCATATAAACCGGCTGTTTATCTTAACCTTCAAACACATAATGTTAAAATGCTGCGTCATTATTGACCAGTATAGCATAGTAATTAACACTTACTTACAGCATGCTTTCAATGTCTTTGTTCAGGAAAAAAATGAAAATAGGCTGACATTAAAGTTTGAAATTAAAAATAGCTTTAATACCTATAAAATTGCTGTTCATAAAGGAACATACACTTGAAGATTGAAAAAAAATCCCTTCAGTAATAAAGTTTCTTTGGTAAAATTTAACCATTTTCAAGGAATGATCGACATTTAAAGGGAAGATATTTATGGAAATAAGGATGTGAGTTCCTTATTTGTAAGTATATATGATGTGTCTTATGATAAGAACAACACATATTTGAAGATTAAAGTTAATTCATATAGAAATTAAAAAAAAATATGTTACAGTAAAATATTTTGATTTGTAATCAAAATCAGAATGCAGACGCCGATGGACAAACTTGCATATACTTTCTATAGTCGGGAGTAAAGTGGCTCACCGAAATCATATTTTAAATTTGACCGACTTTTTATACCTAATATGAGGGTACCTATATAGATCACAAATAATGGTTGTGGGCAATTTAAGATAGTTGTGGTTCTTTATTTTATTCTGTAAAAATTCCAAAAAGAGTTACGCTTCTTGAGCACTGCACTTCCTCTCATTTTGCTTGACCATTGAATGTATTGTTGCAAGTTGCATTGAATTTTAAACATTACTGTTTAAGTTATGCACCAGACAAGGCAAAGCAACAATGGACAATAACTCTAAAATACTGAAGATGGAGTTATGGTTATTGAACACAACGCGCCTTCTTTTTGCGCATTGCCATTGTCTGAAGTTTTATTGAATTACAACCATTAATTTTCAAGTAATGCACTGGACATTAAAAAGTTACAAATGGCAAAAACTCTTAAATGAGTAAAGAAAGAGTTAAAGTTTCTGTACACTGCGCTATCTCTTAATATATTGACCATTGTATGAAATTAAATTGAATTCCACTATTAGTCTTCAAGTTATGCTCCAGACAAAAAAAAAATCAATGGAAAAGTAAAAAAGGCAATAACTCTGTAATTACTTAAGAAAGAGTTATGGTTCTTGTGCACTGCACTTCCCCTTATTGCGCTTTGCAATTGTATGAAGTTGTTTTGAATTCCAACCAGTAGTCTTTATACTCTGGACAAGGAAAAGTAACAAAGGACAATAACTGTGTAATTAGTCAAGATCGAGTTATGATTATTGTGTACTGCACTTCCTATTAATGTGCTTGATTATTGTATGAAGTTTTATTGAATACCATTAGTCTTAAAGTTATGTTCCGGACAAAAGAAAACAGAAAAGTAACAAAGGGCAATAACTCTGTTATTACTATAAACAGAGTTATGATTCTATTGCACTGCACTTTCCCCTATTGTGCTTGACCATTGTATGAAGTTGTTTTGAATTCCAACCAGTAGTTTTCAAGTTATGTACCGGACAAGGAAAAGTAACAAAGGTTATAAACTATAGAATTAGTCAAGATGGAGTTATGGTTACTGTGCACTGCACTTCCTTTCAATGTGCTTGACCATTGTATGAAGTTGTATTGAATTCCAACCATTCAAGTTATGCTCCGGACAAGGAAAATGCAACGGAACGCTGGACCGACTGGCCGACCAACAGACTGACCGATCGACCAACCACCGGGTGACTATATACCAACAAAAATTCGTTTCGGGGGTATAATGATAAAAATATCTATAATGTGTTTGTCTTTGAAATTAATGCGTGGAGTATCTAGATTTTGAAAAGAAGGCAAATAAAATCAAAATATGTTTATTGTTGTTCTTATTGTTGTTGTTGTTTTTTG